GGTCAGGTGACGTGAAGTCTGCAGGGAGGGGGCTCTGCACAGTACACGTGTCTGTTCACTGGAACACACCTGACTGCATGAGCTGGTCAGGTGACATGAAGTCTGCAGGGAGGGGGCTCTGCACAGTACACATGTCTGTTCACTGGAACACACCTGACTGCATGAGCTGGTCAGGTGATGTGAAGTCTGCAGGGAGGGGGCTCTGCACAGTACACGTGTCTGTTCAATGGAACACACCTGACTTCACAATGATGAAGTGCTCGGAAATTCTCATGGGCATCCTCAGTTTTCAGGGTCTTCTCTCAATGCCTCATCTTCTACGACTCATTAAAATAGAATTATTCTTTCTTTTTAAACCTCATAATACTTTTATTTCCTCCAATGTATCATAATTCAGACTGGGATTGGGATTATTTGCTTACTTGTCAGTCTCTTCTCCAAAATTATGAGGTACTGAGATAGTGTCTTTTTACTCTCTGCATTTCTGACACCTGGCACAGTATCTGTACAGAGGAGATGGCAAGCCAGAGAGGACAGATGAATGGGTCAAGGGTTGGACAAACAGATGGAATGAGAAAGTGGATGAGTAAGCAATGGACTTGCTATGCCAAGGCATACTTAACCACCTAATGGTATCAACAGAAGCTGACTTTAAATTCCGCATGCCATTCAAGTCTTCATTATACACTAAAACAGAATTAAACTACCCACTGTGATATCACACAAGTATGATAAATAAGTTTGTAAGTGCGTGGAAAGTAGATACATACGCATATATTTTTAAATATTTCTAATGATCTCTTAAAAATACACACCTGGCAAAACACGGGTTTATGAACACTGGAAAAAAATTGTAGCAGCTCTTCTGAATCCCTGTAGTCACTGGGGAGTTTGTCAACGCAAAGGCACTTGGAATGAATGAGCTCTGAGGCCAGCAGGTTAACATCCATCCATTGTGCAAAGAGAACGGATGTTCCTAGCTGTTTACCCAACAGCTCCAATCGGGCCCTGGCAGCAAAGCCCTTCTTCATGTACTCCACAAACCCATAGCCTTTGGAGTGGCCAGTAACTTCGCTGTAGACCAGAAAACATCTCTCAATATTTCCGTAAGCACGAACAAGTTCTTCAAACTCTTCTAATGTGAAAGAAATGGGCAGGTTGGTAATACATAGCAAAGCATCTGTCGGCTGGAGCTGGACTATTAAGTCTTTTCCTCGGAAAGAATATTGATGAAACGTCTGGATTGCATTCTGTGCTTGTTCTCCATTCAATAAGGTAACAAAAGCTGGAAGATAGCAAAGTGAATTAAAGAGCTTTTTAGGCCAGTGTTTTATGGTTTTTGGTTTTGCGACAGTCTCACTCTGTCACCTGAGGCTGTGGCATCATCATAGCTCAGAGCAACCTCTTCCTATCTCAGCCTCCCTGCAGCTATGACTATAGGTGCCATAACACCCAGCTAGTTTTCCTATTTTTAGAAGAGATAGGGTCTCACTCTTGCTCAGGCTGGTCTCAAACTCCTGAGCTCAAGGGATCTTCCTGCCTTGGCCTCCCAGAGTGCTGGGGATACAGTGGGAGCCACCACGTACAACCTAGGCCAGTGTTTCAAACTTTTTTGACTGTGACCCACAGTAAGAAGTATATTTTATGTCTGTGACTCAGTATGCACATATACATTTTTTCTGAAACAAAACTATGATTAAGTAACACCTCTACTATATACAGTGCACTGGGGCACTTTTTATTCTGTTTTAGAATGCTGACGCCTCCACTTAACTAATCTCATGACCAGTATCCTAAATAGGAGGTATAGCAGTATTAAGAGTTTCACTGTAGGCTCGGCGCCTGTGGCTCAACCGGCTAGGGCGCCAGCCACGTACACCTAGGGTGGCGGGTTCGAATCCCCAGCCCGGACCCGCCAAAAACAACAATGATGGCTGCAACCAAAAAATGGCCGGGCGTTGTGGCGGGCGCCTGTGGTCCC